TGGGTAGAAATGTCTGTGGCAACATAACACCAGAATGCCCTCACGGTCATCCGCTGTAATAATGTACCTTCTTGTATTTATTTTATCATTGACAATCAGAATTGTTCCTATATATATTATATTAAGTATTTTTCTATTTGGTACTATGAAAACTTGGGCATGTCATTAAGCATCGTGCCTTGGTTCCTCTTGCAATCGGGTCGTCATCTTACAATATGTATCAATCCCTCTGCATCAGGCACGATGATGACATACCAGGTTTGTGTATCTGCTCATATCATAACCAAATTGTCTATTTACATTCATGTATACCATGCGCGTCTATCTCCCACCTTGCCATGCAGCACCGTCCCTTGGTGGATTTTGTAGTTACGTTAAATATCCAATACATTGCCAATTTATTTTAGGAACTTTTTCATGTTGGGGTGTACCTGAGAAGGAGGTAAACACTATTAAACGTATATTTATATATATTTAATATATGTGTGTGTAGTTCATGATGTTCAAACTGCTTTTTCTTTTCTTTGTATGTATACTAGATTATTGTTGTTTCTTTTTGTTATTGTCTTATTAATGTCTTATATGGTATTATCCTCCTTGTTAGCCCATTTTATGGAAATAAAACATCTTCTTCTTGTACAGGTCAAGTTCGATATTGATGGTTTTCATCGTGTTTAATGCATTTTCTTGTCTTAAAAGTTGTACGTGTTTATACAATGTCATGGGCCATTAAATACAGGTAAAGTTCTTTTAATGGATTTCACAATTACCGTTCAATAGTTTTCCACTTTGTTATTTTTTTCGTTTCCGGATGATAAGTTAAGTTCCACTGACCGAATCTTATGAATTTTTAGCACAATACAATGGATTATTGAATATATATATCAAGTTCCATTTAGACATTTACCGTAATCTGTGATCACTATATAGATCACTTAATTCATGTTTTGTATCTGCTCTTTAACGTTCGAGTTTTAGTAGGTTTCTCGTTTTTACCCATGAAAGACACAAATAAATGGGATAATGGTCCTACCTTTTTATTCGTAATGTGTTTACACTCGGGGCGATTTAGAGCTTGACATTCTGACACCTTTGTTGTCTATATTTATATTATAATACAGATGTCTTTTCTCATTTTGCATGATGGTTTTGGGTTCCTGTCTGTCTGACGTGTAATTGTAACAAAAAATTTGTTCCGGCGTGACATTTGTTCCCCCGGAACAAATTTTACAGGAAATATGTTCCACCGGAATTTATATCACAGAAAATATGTTCCAGCACTGTAAAATTTGTTCCGGAACTAATTTTTTTACTAAATGTGAAATAAGTTCCGGAACAAAAATCACAGCTCCATGAATTTTGTTCCAATATTAAATTTGTTTAAAAAGTTGAAATAAGTCCCTGTGATATTAGTTTTGAACGAAGATATTTCATAGAAATCAATGAATAAGTTCTGCTCAAACCTATTTTACAGACAATAAGTACCTTTGCAACATATTGCACAGCGAAATATTTTCTTGTTACACTTAAAAATTATAATGCAAGCTTGATGCTGTACTGTGCTTGCAAAGGGTAAATTTGCAATTGAAGGCATGCCTGTGACTGTAGGATGGAGATAAGAAATAAAAGCAATGGTAATGTATCATAATTTGTATTTATGTTTTATGTGGTATTCGACCTCCTTGTTTCCTGTTAATATGTCATGGGTGTTCTATTCATACATGTACTTAGCTAAGGGATGGCAGTTACAAAAAAGTGTGTCTTTTGTTTCTTTATATAGATATAAGAAGATGTGGTATGAGTGCCAATGAGACAACTCTCCATCCAAGTCAAAATTTATAAAATTAAACCATTATAGGTCAAAGTACGGTCTTCAACACGGAGCCTTGGCTCACACCAAACAGTAAGCTATAAAGGGCCCCAAAAATTACTAGTGTAAAACCATTCAAACGGGAAAACCAACGGTCTAATCTATATAAAAAACGAGAAACGAGAAACACTTATGAACCACATCAACAAACGACAACTACTGAACATCAGATTCCTGACTTAGGACAGGTGCAAACAAATGCAGCGGGTTTAAACGTTTTAATGGTACCAAACCTTTATGTCTTTTAATATAATTGATCAGTCACTTTGTCCTTTTCAAATTAGTACAAATGTTCATCTTTAGCTATACTTTTTTTTCTGAATGATTTTTCTTATTCTACTCTTTTCTGGCTCATAAGTGTCATTTTGGTATTTTTTATTGAGTATGTTATTAAACATTTGCCTTACTCCACAGGATCCAAATTGGATGTTTAAACTTTTTATTTATTACATTATTAATATAATACATGTTTTTATAATGTACTTGAATGATAACTTTAAACTCACTGATGACAAGTGCTCAGTATATAAGATAACTTGTTTAACCAGTGGAACATATTTCACAGACAAGGCACTTATTTCACCAGGTGAGGAACAAATCTCACAAACCCAGAACTTATTTCACCAGGTAAGGAACAAATCTCACAAACCCGGAACTTATTTCACTAGGTAAGGAACAAATTTCACCAATCCAGAACATATCATTCACTAGGTAAAGTGTTGAACTTTTTTTAAAGAGATGGAACAAATTATATAGAAATTGTCTGTGAAAAAGTTCTCCCAGAACATATTTCCTGTGAAATTAGTTCCATTGGAACTTTTTTCACAGGAACAAATTTTGTCTCACATAATAACATGTCGTTAAATTCATACTTTATTACAGTCACAATAATATAGATTTACGATGTAAACACAATCCTTTAATTGTATTTGAATCTACACTCACAGAAAAAAAATTAAAGATCTAAATGTAATAAAATGCTCCGCTGTGCGCAGCTTGATACGACCACAGAGGTCGAACCCTGAACAGTTGGGGCAAGTACACAACATTCAAGCTTGAAACAGCTCTGAATTTGGATTGTGATTAAAAATTTGACACAGTATAGGTTTCTGACACAGAATGAATGTGGTCTAAGAACTTAAAATTTTTTAATTTACCTATTATGGTCCAATATCCAAAATCTAAATACATACATGGTTAGATTCAGCATATCAAAGAACCCCAAGAATTCAATTTTTGTTAAAATCAAACTAAGTTTAATTTTGGACCCTTTGGACCTTAATGTAGACCAATTTGAAAACGGGACCAAAAATTAAGAATCTAAATACACGGTTAGATTCAGCATATCAAAGAACCCCAATATTTCAATTTTTGATGAAATCAAACCATATCATTATTACTTGCTTTTATATATAAATAAAAAATAACCAACTTAAAATGGAAAATTTTAAAGAAAAAAAAAAGGAAAAAAAGCCCCCAAAAAAAAAAAGGAAAAAAAAATCCCCCCGAAATTTTTTGAACCCCCTTATGATTCATCACCCCCAAACTCAGTCCCTGCCTTCCCTTTGTGGTATGGTACCTTGCAGTACAATTTCAGAGAGATCCATACACTTGAACACAAGTTATTGTCTGGAAACTGTTAAAATGCTTGTTTTTTTGGCCCCTTTTTGGCCCCTTATTCCTCAACGTTTAAGGCAATTACCACCAAACTCAAACCCAGCTTTCCCTTTGTGATATGTAACCTTGTAGAACAATTTCATAAAGATCCATACACTTACACACAAGTTATTGTCCTGAAATTAGAAAAATGCTTGTTTTTTGCCCCTTTTTGGCCCCTAATTCCTAAAATTTTGAGGCAATTACCCTCAAAATCAATCCCAGCCTTCCCTTTGTGGTATGGTAACTTGCAGTACAATTTCAGAGAGATCCATACACTTGAACATTAGTTAATGTCTGGAAATTAGAAAAATGCTTATTTTTGGCCCCTTTTTGCTCAACGTTTCGGGCAATTACCCCCAAACTCAATTCCAGCTTTCCCTTTCTGATATGGAACCTTGTAGTACAATTTCAGAAAGATCCATACATTTACACACAAGTTATTGTCATGAAACTAGAAAAATGCTTGTTTTTTGCCCCTTTTTTGGCCCCCTAATTCCTAAAATTTTGAGGCAATTACCCCCAAAATCAATCCCAGCATTCCCTTTGTGATATGGAACCTTGTGGTACATTGTCAGAGAGATCCATACACTAACACACAAGTTATTGTCTGGAAGTTACAAAAATGCTTATTTTTGTAACTTCCAGACAATAACTTGTGTGTTAGTGTATGGTAGTTACAAAAATGCTTATTTTTGGCCCCTTTTTGGCCCCTAATTCCTTAACTGTTGGTACCATAACCCCCAAATCAATTCTAACCTTGCTTTTGTGGTATTGAACCTTATGGTAAAATTTCATAGAGATCCATTCACTTAAACTAAAGTTATTGTGCGAAAACCAATGTGTCTTCGGCCGACGACGCCAACGTCATACCAATATACGACAGCAAAAATTTTGTGCGGTCGTATAAAAATGAGTATTTCGATATAAATGATATGTTTTGTCTTCTGTACTATGAAAACAAATGTTTGTCTTTCCTGGTACAAGATTGTTTATACTATTAAAATCGTTGTCCAGTCCAAAATAAACATAGATTATATACGACACTGTAATCCAGCCATACAAATGTATATATGAAGTTAAATGATAGAAAACAATCAATATTTCGTGGTAAACAAATGTAGCATTGCCTCATCAGTGAAGTTTCCTAATTTGAGGATATAGGATCTGGTGTAGTGGATTTTAACACCTCTATGCTAGGCAACTGGCAGCCAGATATATTTTTCGTCTCTAGAGAGTCGACTTGCAATGAAATCTGTGTGTGCAGCTATAGCCTAGAAACCTGCGAAAAACCCCAATCTCTTTGGGTCTACTGTTGAGCAGATTTACAGGCCATATGTAAAATGGTCATCATTTTGACATAGTTATTTATTTTTATTTCAGGACTTTAAATATACAAAATTGTGTTCCTTGTTTTAATTTCGCAAGTGGGAGTTAATCGGTCAACAGACGGAAGCAAGTAACTAACTATACGTATGTTGAATACAAGTATATAAATACTTCGTTTTATTTAAAGCTGAAACATTTATCAAAATCGTACTGTTCTTGCAATTACATCAAGAAGAAATATCATCAGTACTTCAATAAAATCAAGGCATATCTAACAGTGTTATACGTACAATGTATGGACAAGCATTTTATGCTGTAGGTGCACCAGTTTAGCATTTAACGAAGGAAATTAAGTTTAGCTACTGTTTCTTCTCCAGTCCCTTTATTAGTGGCTTTAACTTCTACTTCTGTACCACCAAAGGTAAGTTGGACCGATACCTTTCGGTTTTTCCCTCCTCTGGTATCTGGCATATTGACAGTGAGCTCTCCTAGATATCTACACGACGGATCATCCGTGAAACGTGGATTTTTCTCAGTCGAGGTGTAAATTGGGACAGACATCCCAGTTTGGTCGGAATATAACGGGTAGTACACTTGTTCTTCGAAGGCTTCGTTAATATGGACTGCCTGTCCTATCTCAACATGCTTACTAAAACAGTCTCGACATTTTAAAGTTCCTTCAGCATCAAATTTCTTACTCTCTGGATCACCCTTTTTAAAGTTTCTATTTGTTCGCACACCATAAGTAACTTTACAGACCCGCGTAGATATAATTCTTGGTTCGTATCCATACTGTACTGCCCCTTTCAACACGGCTAAACCAGACTCCTGAGGAATAATGATAGTTTTTCCTGGAAATCCCTTTTCAACTGCATCCCTCAACATTGGCGATTCTGAGAATCCACCAACCATTAGGATAGTATTGGTGCCTCTAACTTTCGCCTCGTTGAATATACCCTTTAAATGTTGGATTATATGCTGACACGCATTATCAAAGAAACCTCGGGCAACATCTGGATCAACCCGTAGTTTATCCCCAACCCATCGTACTCTCTTTGACGACGCCAACGATTCTCGGAAATCGGTCCCCTTTTCCCTCTCAAATATTTCACTTAAAGTAATCGGCACTTTAAATGTAACTTTCGATGTCTGATCTGGTTTAATTTGACGCTTCTTAATTTCAATTTCTCTACACAAGTCTAAGTGACCAGCTTTATCTTCATCGCGGAACTTGTATACCGTCTCCGGTCCTGCAAGCTCCATCAAGTATTCTTCAAACGCCTGATCCACTTTAGTTCCTCCCCAGTCACCGCCATTGGCCATATACAGTTGTGTGATGGTTCCATCAGTTTGTACTTCCTGGACAGTAATATCAACTGTGCCACCTGTAAACGAAAGTTAATGCCTTTAAATCAATAATTATAAAACAACTTGTTTTAAAGGGGCACTAGCTACGAGATATATAAAAAATCTAAAATAGGATTTTTTTTTGTTCAATCATTAATGAAAGTGAAATAGTGAAATAATAATTCGCTTTTAGCAGCCAGTATGGATCAATTTTGTCAAAATAAGCTAAGAAACATTGATGATGAATTATTCACTTGCAAGTGAATAATTCGACCTCACTGAATCCGTATTCATATGAACTTCAATTTTACCCCTAAGTTAGAGATGGATAACGCATGAATGGTGCGTGTTCAGTTATTTAAAGGAATTGAAAGTGAAACAAAGGTAAATCATTTGATTGACTGATTCGATCCACAAAAAAATATTCTTATATATAAACGATGATTAACATATATGTTTAATCTATAAAATGAAATTAAACAGAACTAGAAAAATCCAATTGCACGAAATCCTATCTATTTATATCTATATTTATGTTTATATCGCTTATATGACCATCGGAGGTCTTCGGAGGTCAACTCGATCGTTAATTAGATGGTGTCTAGAATAAAATACACACGAAACAAATCTACATATTATTGAGCCCTGTAAATTGTTTATTTTAGACTTTTTATAATTTGGATAAATGTTTTACATGGTTATAAATCAAATATGAGAATTTGAGTCAAATCGGTGACATGAATTTGACAGCTAGTGCCCCTTTAATAGTAGATTTTCTATGTCAATCGTCATGATCACAATGGTATACTTTCAGTACTATAGTTCATTCATAGAAGGAGCCATTATTTGGTCCCTGAAATTGCAAAAATATACTAGTCAACAAAAGAAACGATACACAAGTTTGAACTCAAATTTATCAAAAAATATAATAAATAGGAAAAACTGTTAAATTATCCAACGAAAAACATTCATTTACAAAGCAAATGCATATGATTAAAAGAATCTGACCAAATTGGAAAGTTAGAAAATACCGAGTTATTGAACACAGGGGTCAGATTTATTTTGCGGAAAATAATGACAAAAGTCGGCACTTAATTTCGAAGATGAGAATTAAGTATTTAAATATCTGCAAAAGCTTTCAAAATTTTAAGGAGACCATGTTTAAATTTAAATTTTAAGTTCTAATATCGATTTTTGAATTTTTTGGTAAAAAATACGATTTTTGAGATAAGAAAAATTGAAAAAAAAATTTCGCGTTTTTGCCTTAAATCAATGGTTTTGCTAAGAAAATAACACTCTGTAAAAATTAGACCAATTGAGCAATTATTTACCTTGGTCCAGTGTATCCAATTTCATTATATATGGAAAATACATTGCCTTGTATCGTTTCTTTTGTTGACTAGTATAGTTACCTTATTCATGCCTTTTACAATTATGTTAATCATATTAAAAATGAAAATTAACAGGTTCATATAATCTGGACACATCAGTGCAGTAAAGTCACTTATGATGTCATTATGATGTCCTAAACATCGAAATTTCATATTTGACCTAAACTGGCCATTTCACTCATAGGTTTTGGTAAAAACATATTCGAGCAACAGAAATTTTACATGTAGCAAAACGTCTTTTTAAGTGTATCAAAATGAGGTTATTTAGACGGTTTTTGCTGTTAAGCACTAAATGTAAGAAATTGAAGCCCCAATACAAATAAGTAAAACAAAATTTAAAAATATAAATACTGATTTCTGACAGACTTATTTGTCTTATGAACATCTGAAGGATATATTTGATATATTAATTAATACTTTTCTATCTTTTACGTAGTTGTAGTTATTCTAAAGATTAATTTATATGACCGTTATAGGTAAGTTATTTTAAATATCAACAATTTACCTCCAGCATCAAGAATCAGATATTTGGTCCCCGGAGAGAACGCTCCCAGGGCAGAATTTGCCCCTGCTGCCAAACGTTCCACAGGAAGATGTTTGCAATAGACAGAAGCAGCTTCAGGTTCCAATGCCAACATCAACTGACTGTTGGGAATTCCTCCCTGTAAACATTATATGGAAAAATAAATTAAAAATATCAAAATAATTTATTGAGGAGTACTAGTACTGTCACGATTATCTTAAATCAAATTTCACATCTCTTTCTAGAAACACAATAGACTGTCTTAGTTTCAAAGATTATAATGACCTTCTCCTTTAAAGGGCACTAGCTACGAGATACACAAAAAATTTAAAGTATATTTGTTTTTGTTCAATCGTTAATGAAAGTGAAATAATGAAATGATAATTCGCTTTTAGCAGCCAGTATGGTTCAATTATGTCAAAATAAGCTAAGAAAGATCAATAACGAATTATTCACTAGCAAGTGAATAATTCTACCTCATTGAATCCGTATTTATGTGATCTTTAATCTAACCCCTTAGATAGAGACTGATTATGCACGAATTATGCGTGTTCAGTTATTAAAAGGAAAGAATGTCAACATTGAAAGTGAAACAAAGGTAAATCATTTGATTGACGGATTCGATCCACAAAAACTCATTCTTATACAGGTAAAAATGAAGATTTACATATATTTTTAACCTATAATATGAAATTAAACAGACCTAGAAAAATCTAATTGCACGAGTTCATTATCCATTTATATCTATATTTACGCTTATATCGCTAAAATTACCGTCGGCATTCTTCTTCGGTCAACTCGATAGTTAATTAAATGGCGTCTAGACTAAAATACACACGAAAAAATGATACATATTATCGAGACCATGCCTTGTAAATTGCTTATTTTAGACAATTTCGACATACATTTTAGCATGTTATAAATCAGATATGAGAATTTGAGTCAAATCGGTGAACATGAATTTGACAGCCAATGCCCCTTAAAATACCTATGTGTGTATAATTGTATTCTAACATTATCAAAGATTCGACAACGACTAAAACATTTCTTAAACTAATAAAATGCTCCGTAGGGCGCAGCTTGATACGACCGCAGAGGTCGAACCCTGAACAGTTGGGGGAAGTATGGACACAACATTCAAGCTTGATACAGCTTTGGATTTGGATTGTGATTAAATATTTGACACAGCATAGGTTTCTAACACAGATTGAATGTGGTCTAAGAACTTAAAAATTTTAAATTGGACATTCACCTATTATGGTCCAATATCCAAAATCTAAATACATGGTTAGATTCAGCATATCAAAGAACCCCAAGAATTCAATTTTTGATGAAATCAAACAAAGTTTAATTTTGGACCCTTTTGACCTCAATGTGGACAAAGTTGATAACGGGGCCCAAAAATCAAAAATCTAAATACATGGTTAGATTCAGCATATCAAAGAACCCCATATATTCAATTTTTGTTGAAATCAAACAAAGTTTAATTTTGGACCCCGATTTGGACCAACTTGAAAACTGGGCCCATAATCAAAAATCTAAATACATGTTTAGATTCAGCATATCAAAGAACCCTAAGAATTCAATTTTTGTTAAAATCAAACTAAGTTTAATTTTGGACCCTTTGGACCTTAATGTAGACCAATTTGAAAACGGAACCAAAAATTAAGAATCTAAATACACGGTTAGATTCGGCATATCAAAGAACCCCAATAATTCAATTTTTGATGAAATCAAACAAAGTTTAATTTTGGACCCTTTTGACCTCAATGTGGACAAAGTTGATAACGGGGCCCAAAAATCAAAAATCTAAATACATGGTTAGATTCAGCATATCAAAGAACCCCATATATTCATTTTTTGTTGAAATCAAACAAAGTTTAATTTTGGACCCCGATTTGGACCAACTTGAAAACTGGGCCCATAATCAAAAATCTAAATACATGTTTAGATTCAGCATATCAAAGAACCCTAAGAATTCAATTTTTGTTAAAATCAAACTAAGTTTAATTTTGGACCCTTTGGACCTTAATGTAGACCAATTTGAAAACGGAACCAAAATTTAAGAATCTAAATACACAGTTAGATTCGGCATATCAAAGAACCCCAATAATTTAATTTTTGATGAAATCAAACAAAGTTTAATTTTGGACCCTTTGGACCTCAATGTGGACCAATTTAAAAACGGGGCCCAAAATCCAAAAACTAAATACACGGTTAGATTCAGCATATTAAAGAACCCCATGAAATCAAGAATAAAACCCCATTCAAATTGGTCAAGAAATAAGCAATTTATAGGAAGTATCTTCTTTTGCACAATCCTGTGCTATTAAATATTTCTTGCTATTGCGCAATACTGTACAATTGACAATTTCTTGCTATTGCGCAATATTGTGCTATTGGATATTTCTTGCTATTGCGCAATACTGTGCAATTGAAGATTTCTTGCTATTGCGCAATACTGTGCAATTGAAGATTTCTTGCTATTGTGCAATACTGTGCAATTGAAAATTTCTTGCTATTGCACAATACTTATTATATAATAATTTACACATCCTGTTTGGTGTGTATCTCCTACCATATCATTATTATTTGATTTTAAATATAAATCAGAAATAACCAACTTAAAATGGAAAATTTTAAAAGAAACAAAAAAGGAAAAAAAGAAAAAAAGGAAAAAAAAATAAATCCCCCCCCAAAATTTTTTGAACCCCCATTATGATTCATTACCCCCAAACTCAATCCCAGCCTTCCCTTTGTGGTATGGTACCTTGCAGTACAATTTCAGAGAGATCCATACACTTGAACACAAGTTATTGTCTGGAAACTAGAAAAAAATGTGTTTTTTGGCCCCTTTCTGGCCCCAAATTCCTAAACGTTTAGGGCAATTACCCCCAAACTCAAACCCAGCTTTCCCTTTGTGATATGGAACCTTGTAGTACAATTTCAGAAAGATCCATACACTTACACACAAGTTATTGTCATGAAACTAGAAAAATGCTTGTTTTTTGCCCCTTTTTTGGCCCCTAATTCCTAAAATTTGGAGGCAATTACCCCCAAAATCAATCCCAGCATTCCTTTAGTGATATGGAACCTTGTGGTACAATGTCAGAGAGATCCATACACTAACACACAAGTTATGTCTGGAAGTTACAAAAATGCTTATTTTTGGCCCCTTTTTGGCCCCTAATTCCTTTACTGTTATTACCATAACCCCCAAAATCAATCGCAACCTTCCTTTTGTGGTATTGAACCTTGTGGTAAAATTTCATAAAGATCCATTTACTTAAACTAAAGTTAGAGTGCAAAAACCAAGTGTCTTCGGACGACGCCGGACGACGCCGGACGACGACGACGCCGGACGACGACGACGCCAACGTCATACCAATATACGACCACAAAAATTTTTTTGCGGTCGTATAAAAACCGAAACCTCATATCCCCAAGAAAATAAATCAATCAAAGAGCTGATAGCGCTGAGGAAAAATGACGCCATTGTCCCTAATATTGGTATATTTTTGATGCAAGTCTTGATTTTCACATAATTTACCTACTGAATCTTAGGAGACTCTTCAGTTCATGGTAGGTAGGCTGACTGACAATAGAATAGATATGAATTGTTTTCAATGTCTATGGCTTTTTTATTTGTTTGTCAAAATATATATACATATGTGTGTGTGTGTGAAGTGAAGATGACTACTGCTTTTTCTGTTGTACAAAGAAATATCTCAAGACTACCTGAACAATCTACAAAATTCAAAGTAATATGTGAATTTGTTTCTTGCAATTTCATTATTCTAAGTCAAGGATACATTAACAGACTATCCCCTTCTTTGTAGAATTATTTAACAAAATGATTACGAAGAGCCTGTAGTAAGAAAGCTCTTTTACCCAACATAGTCCTTATTTAAGAGATAAGTTACAGGTGACCCAGTGACATCATTTTTTCTGTTACTTAAAGCATGATCCATTTCTGTAGATTTAGACAATAGTATTGTTATACTAGTAAGTAGTTTGACAATTACAAACATAGTGACACCATTTATACAACTTATTGTTAATATATATATATATAAACTGAAAACTTAAAATGACAACATAAATTATTGCAGCATTATTTGTTTTCAAATGATTTAATGTTTGTTAGTCATTTATTTCAAATAATTAACCCGTACTAAAAAACGGAGTGTGTTATGATTGCCAATGAGATAACAGTCTGATAACTATCCACCAGAGTCCAAATAATGTGGCTGTTAGCAGTTATAAGTCACTTTACAGACCTCAGCAATGAACAAAACCGGTTCATTGTTTTCAGGCACCATAGGAAAAAGAGGAGTTGTGGATTGGTGGCTTACAAGAAAATATAAGAAATATAATAATAATAATATAAACAAGAAAATAAGAGCGACAAAAAAGACAGGACTAAGCCACTGGACTATATATAAAGTGCTCCATTACTAATCCTTAGGAGCTGCTGATCTATACTTAGAAAAGAAAGATGTTGAGGACTTAGCCAGGGCGAACAGAATTTTTAGACTTAGGAACAACAGAGTAGATGTGGGGACACCACATATATAGGCCAATCTGCCCTATTTGCTGCCACCTATTAAAAATTAATGCTAAGGGTGGTAACCGTAATTAACACCATGTGCATTTAATCTGTTGTTCTCTCTGTACATATATGATATAAGTTAAATGCAAAAAATGCAGCTGTAATGTAAATATGGTAATTTTACATCATTTTAGCCTCATTTTTTATAAGGACCTAGCTAGACCTATAACTTAGGCAAGGTGTATTATATAACTGAAAGCAATAAAATCCAGTGTTCTCCCAAGGATTTTTTTTTATAGCGCTGTGGAGAGCGTGCAATATTAGATTGATTCACCTTAAGTTTCGTGTTTGCGACTTGATGTTACATTTATTTAGAACTACCATGTTGGTTATATTATAGTAAATAGACAAAGACCTGCATTTTTTATACATGTGCCATGTGCATTAACAGAAATGCAAATAAGTGACATTTTTATTATTAAACTTTAAAAATTAAAATGCATAGATAACTTAAATAATTTGATTTCATTACCACCCATCCCCAAATGTAGCACAGTAGGTATATCTTTTTTTTCTCACTTTTAGTTGTTTGGCTTATAAACTAGTTATATATCCTTTACAGCTTCATAATTTACTGACACATATTTAAAGAAGGTTTTCAATGACAAAATTGGAACTTTTTCATTAACTTTCATTCACATCCATCAAATTATAATTTTGCAATTACAATTGGTATATCCTTTAATATCAAAGGAAGAAATGGAATAACTCTTTCCATAAGTACTGAAATGTTATTAAAGATATGTTTAAAAAGGCTAACATATTTGATCATATTAAAAGATGAATATGACAGAAATCTTTTTTTTTATTATCAAAGGTGGATTATCAATAAAGAAATGTTTGCCAATTGAAACATTTCAACCACCTTTAAAATTTGTGTTTTGTAATTTTATGAATATTTGAATTATTGCCACCAGAAATATTTCACAAGATTTGACAATACTGGTTTAAGCAGTTCAGTTCAGTTCAGTTTCTTGTATATTCCTCCATTAATTGTGGAGCACTACTCATAGGGTATAATTATAGCAACTATATACACCTTAAAACATAAGGAAACATTTAATTATGTACAGATGACTGAATTTAGGTAATAATAATTACTAAATAATTAATATTATAATTAATTCATAGGATTGTCATCATAAAAGTTTTAAATTATATTCATAATGTGCTGAGGTGTAAGAACAAGTTAAAGTAAGAACTGGATATATTTACAAATAAGAGTTTAGAATTTAAGTGGTCTTAAATTAAACTTTCTTATAATTGTTAGTTAAAGGTGCTATACGTACATCAGAATTTATAATGAGAAGGTTATTTTATAAGACTTATGTAAAAAGGTTGGGGTTTAGAACAATTCAACATATATACACAAGTTTTCCTTCACAGTTTCAAATTACCTTATTTGGGATTTTCATTATTCTTTAAAGGTACTTGATATCTTAAAACTTTGCAAAGAATTATTTAATTTAGGTCCTAATAAGTCATAAAATAGTAAGACGGTAAAGTAGGGAACTATTTTATTTTAAAAAACTTTACTTATACTGTACTTGTGTTTAAGTTTTTTATCCTTTTTGTGCGCAGCATGTGCATCTCATAGCATATATTTCTAGCCAGAGTTTCAATGTTTTCATACACAGTTGAGTGACAGTTTATGTCCTTGCTAGTACAGTCCATTATGAGCTGCAGTAAATTCCCTTATTGTATGATCTTCTTGTATGTTGAGGTATCAATTTCATCCATTATCTGTTCGATTTTTGAGCAATATTTAGATCTTATTTGCTCCAATTCTTTGCAGCGTAGAATAAAATGTTCTAGATCTTCATTTTCCTGTTCACAGATTGTACATATCGGGTTAACTTTCGGATCCAACTTAGCTCTTTTGGCTTGGAATATGTACGTTTGCGTACTTATTCTTGCTTTTATTTCTCCTGCCTTTACATCTCAATTCTTTACTATTGTTTTTTACGCTTTTCCATATATTGTGAGCTTCATTTAATGGATTGTTCTGTATCTCTATGTATTTAAGTGATGTTTTTTCCATTTTTTCATAATGACATTCATTTTTCCAGTAATCCTTGATCTTTATTCCTACTAGTCTTTTCCATTCGATTTTCTTAAGTGGTTTTTCTATGTAGTAACTTCTAGATTTCAAATTGTATTTTGATAGCGTTTTTTCCACTCTGTTGATAAAGTCTTTTCCTCTTTGGTCTGAAAATGCTATTTGTCGGCGCTGAATTTCACATTCTATGGTTCCTGAATTTCGAACAATATTCATGAAGAAGGTAAGTAGATTTTTGTCTAATGTGATGGCAATAGGTTCTGCTCCTACCAGGGTATAGACAGCCATATTTGCTGTATTATTTGGAAGCCCTTGAATTTGTCGGAGGATTTTTCTCTCTGCCAGTTCTAGCATATCCTTTTCTTTTGCAAGTAAGTTCATCACCTCAAGTCCGTAGATGCTTCTTGGTACTGCATATGTTCTCCATAGCTTGTATGCGACCATGGGTGAGAATCCCCTTCTGACATGTAAACCAGCTCCGAGAAGGCTGTATATTGTGGCCCTGCCGGTTCTTATTCTTTCTGAGATATTTGCCCGGTTTTGCTCGTTTCTTTTGATATGTAGATGTTTGGTTTCAATTGGTTATATTGATGTCATCGTCTTCGAATTGCAGTGTTGATATGTTTGAGCCTTTTGCATTGTATAAAACAGCTTCAGATTTAGTTGGATTGAGTTTAACTAGATATCTGTTTGTATGGTGCTGTACTATGTCTAATATTCCTTGTGCGTCTGCAGTACTATTTGCCAGGACAGCAATGTCATCGGCACATGTGGGTGCAGGGACTTGTATATCACCAATACATGCTCCAAGTCCACTTTTTAAAATGCTATCTAGTATGACGTTGTTGTAGCATTTATATAGCGTCGTAGATAGTTTTTCACCTTGTTGAATTCCTTGTAACACCATTACATCTTCTGTACATTGACCTTCCCATTTAACCTTAATGCTCATGCCTTTATACAAGTTTCTCAGTAATATCCAGAGAATTCCTTTTATTCCATAATGGTACAGCTTGTTGAATAGTATTTCATGGTTTAGTTTGTCAAATGCTTTTTCTGCATCAAGAGTTATTAAAATCCTCAGTATCTTTAATTTCTTACTTTCCTCAATTGCTTCTGATGTGAGGAAAGCTGCGCATAGTGATGACACTCCTTCTGTAAAACCTCTTTGCAAGGAGTTTTGTATGTTATTAAATACAGAGTCAACTCTATCCTTCAGTATACTTTGTAATATTTTTGCAAAGGCTTTAGTCACAGTTATTCCTCTATAGCTAGATGGTAATGTTTTGTCTTTTTCTTTCTTTAGGATTGGTGTAAGAATCCCTGTCTTTAGGAAGATTGGTACATCCAGATATGTTATAATAAATTTAGCAAATGTACTATAAAGGGAGTTAACTCATCCATCCCATATTTGTAGTGTTCTGCCGAAATTCCATCCTCATCCGGTGCTTTTCCTGCTTTAAGTTTTTCTATAGCTTTATTAACCTCCTTTACATTGACATGATCAATGCCTTGACCTGTTTCCCTTTCTATGGATTCTATTAAATTGTTTTGTATTTCTACAAGCTCTAGCTTTTCAGTGTCAAAATTTTTGTGCACCAAAATTGTCTCCCTTACACAACTTCCTGTTTACACTAATAAAATTGAGAATGGACTAATAGCTGTTTCTCTGTGAATCATTAAATGCCATTCCTAATCCAAGCCATCCACTGTTAACATTGATTTTAAAAAAATATTTAATAAATAGATATTGAAAAGTGGATGGCAAAACTCGATATTTTATATTTATTTACAAGAATTTTTCGTTTAGTTATCCTCTGTTCGATTTTGAAAATAGCGACGTAAGGACAAGTAATCGTAAAATACGGGCTTGTTATGAACCCCTGGACATCGGGATTGCTTTTTTCAAAACAATACAGGTTCAACAGTTTAGTTGCAAACTCGAAAAAAGTAATGAAATAATCGTAGATGTTTAAAAAAATGAACGAGACCACGATGTCAGAGAAAGGGTAAAACTCTTTGAATACTTTTGGTATGATTAATTGAGCACTGTCTACTCCTTTCATAAAGTTTCTGCATCTTTTAATTCTTTTTAAAGTGAAAAAATCCAGAAAGTAATAAAGTCTTTTTGACAGAAATACTTCTGCAAAAGTCGCAATTTTGTTCTTTGCCCCTCCGATATTTGACCTACATCTGCAGCTATAACTTTGTTAACAAAATACATACGCACCGCGTGGATATAACCGTATTACTAATTTTTGATTCTTAAAAACTTCTTAAATCTTAATAAAGAGCATTATCTTTCGTATGGTTATCAAGATGATTCTTTCTAATGATTTTAAAGTTCAGCTGACAAGAAAGGTTGACATTCTTTCAAGAACTATTTTGTCTAGCGATTGGTTATCATTGGTATGTAAAAAGTTCAAAACCATAACAAAACAGATCTATTTATATTCTGATTTTTTACGGATTGTAAAGACCGAAAGCTCGCATAAATATGAAAAATATACCAAAGGGATAGCTCAAAATACCATTTAAAAACAATGAAAATATGGGCAGGTTAAGAATGAACATTCTGTATAGTACATGAGTATGTAAAATACGGAACCGAGTTCGGAAAGCGGCTTGGAAGCTGGTCAATTGTATAGTAAAATTGACTGCGTCATTTTCCAACAAAATTAATGATGCGTAACGGGAATAAGCGATTATTATTATTACAAAATATGAATCTTTTAAAAGCATGAATCCAGTTCAGTAAACAGTTGAAAATTAAGCATATGGTGATCAGAAATAGTATGATACAGATCTTTTTAAATGTCATAAACTATCATGTCAAAGTATATTCTAAATATTGAAAAAGAACACTTACTATATAATATACAGTTCACTTTGAGGATTTTCTATCCAGGGTATAGTATGCCATAGTCGTATTTGGCATATTGTTCGGAAATTTTGGTTTTCAATGCTCTCTTCAAATACGTACCTGTACATTCGTTTCTCTCATGAACTGTTTGGTCGGGTATAATCGGACATCGTGACTGATTCTAGATGTTAACAAATTGGATGTCAAAATATCGAGAAGGATGACCCTAAATTTTTTAACATAGTATTATTACCCTTAACATCAGCTTCTCTAATCATTGCTCAAGGACTACTTAGCCGGGTCTGATCAATTGGGTGTCGAAATACTGGGCTGACCCTTGATGCCAACCAATGGGATGTCGATATATCGAGGATGACCCTAAATATTGAACATACCTTTACTGCAGCTTCTCTCATGAACTGTTTTGCAGGATCTGACCATATGGCTGGTACTGTAAGAACCCATGTGATCTCGGTCTTCTTCACGGGCAGGTCTTTTTTAGTAATTTGTTTCATTAAATGGTCTCTCAGGTAATTTATACATGCTGAAATTACCTTTAAAGCAGGCAAATGTTTACCCTTATCGTCTTCGATTGTTAAATCACGTGGTATTTCCTGGAGAGAAAAAAAACGGATATGACAAAAATGTTTATTCTGATTGAAACAACTGTTAGCATTCAATTCAAATCTTATAATATATTTAATGACTAATAGAAGCATGTCCTCCAATATATGACTTCGCATTCTGTTTTTACATTTTTCATGCTGATATTTGCCTTTTCCTTTTACCAGGCACATGTATTGATAGTAATAAACTGCTTCGCTGAGCGCAGCTGGATACGCCCGCAGAGGTCCGACCCTGAACAGTTGGGGCAAAAATGGACACAATATTCAAGCTTGATACAGGTCTGAATTTGGATTGTAATTAAATATTTGACATATTATAGGTTTCTGAATAAATGTAGTCAAAGAACTTGAAATTGGTTATATGAATTGAATTTATATTCAATTAAAGATTTCTTGCTGTTGTGCAATACTTAGTAAATCTGTTGTCAGACTGTAAACAAAAAGTTCAATTTCTTCTCAATGTCATATTTGAAATTTATGAAAATCAATAGGGAGATTACATCAATAGCTATAAATAATTCACCAAAGTTTCATGAGAATTGCTGAAAGCATTTTTGAGTTATTCTCCAAAAACTGGAAAATCCCCCCTTTTTTAATGAATAAAACCCCATTACTCAGAAATGTAAAATCTAAAATTTATAAAATTCTAAAGGTAGCTTACATCAACAGATATAAACAATTCACCAAAGTTTCATGAGAACTGCTGAAAGCATTTTTTAGTTATTGTCCAAAAACTGGAAAATCCCCCTTTTTTATGAATAAAACCCTGCAACTCGGAAACGTAAAATCTTAAATTTATAAAAATAGAAAGGGAGCTCATGTCAATGGATATAAACAATTAAACAAAAGTCCTTGCAAGTTAGTGAAAGCATTCTTGAGTTATTGTCGGAAAACTGGAAAATCCCCCCTTTTTTAATGAATAAAACCCCAAAACTCGGAAACGGTAAATCTGAAATTTATAATAAAATGCTCCGCAGGGCGCAGCTTGATACGACCGCAGAGGTCGAACCCTGAACAGTTAGGGCAAGTATGGACACAACATTCAAGCTTGATACAGCTCTGAATTTGGATTGTGATTAAATATTTGACACAGCATAGGTTTCTGACACAGAATGAATGTGGTCTAAGAACTTAAAAATGTTAAATTGGACATTCACCTATTATGGTCCAATATCCAAAATCTAAATACATGGTTAGATTCAGCATATCAAAGAACCCCAAGAATTCAATTTTTGATGAAATCAAACAAACTTTAATTTTGGACCCTTTTGACCTCAATGTGGACAAAGTTGATAATGGGGCCCAAAAATCAAAAATCTAAATACATGGTTAGATTCAGCATAACAAAGAACCCCATATACTCAATTTTTGTTGAAATCAAACAAAGTTTAATTTTGGACCCCGATTTGGACCAACTTGAAATCTGGGCCCATAATCAAAAATCTAAATACATGTTTAGATTCGGCATATCAAAGAACCCTAAGAATTCAATTTTTGTTAAAATCAAACAAAGTTTAATTTTGGACCCTTTGGACCTTAATGTAGACCAATTTGAAAACGGAACCAAAAATTAAGAATCTAAATACACGGTTAGATTCGGCATATCAAAGAACCCCAATAATTCAATTTTTGATGAAATCAAACAAAGTTTAATTTTGGACCCTTTGTACCTCAATGTGGACCAATTTAAAAACGGGGCCCAAAATCCAAAAACTTAATACACGGTTAGAATCAGCATATTAAAGAACCCCAAGAATTCAAGAATAAAACCCCATTGAAATTGGTCAAGAAATAAGCAATTTATACGAAGTATCTTCTTTTGCACAATACTGTGCAATTGAATATTTCTTGCTATTGCGCAATACTGTACAATTGACAATTTTTTGCTATTGCGCAATATTGTGCTATTGGATATTTCTTGCTTTTACACAATACTGTGCAATTGAAGATTTCTTGCTATTGCGCAATACTGTGCAATTGAAGATTTCTTGCTATTGTGCAATCCTGTGCAATTGAAAATTTCTTGCTATTGCACAATACTTATTAAATAATAATTTACACATCCTGTTTGGTGTGCATCTCCTACCATATCATTATTATTTGCTTTTAAATATAAAACAGAAATAACCAACTTAAAATGGAAAATTTTAAAAGAAAAAAAAAAGGAAAAAAAGAAAAAAAATGAAGAAAAAAAAATCCCCCCCCCCCCCCCAAATTTTTTGAACCACCTTATGATTCATCACCCCCAAACTCAATCCCAGCCTTCCCTTTGTGGTATGGTACCTTGCAGTACAATTTCAGACAGATCCATACACTTGATCACAAGTTATTGTCTGGAAACTAGAAAAATGCTTATTTTTGGCCCCTTTTTGGCCCCTTATTCCTAAACGTTTTTGGCAATTACCCCCAAACTCAATTCCAGCTTTCCCTTTGTGATATGGAACCTTGTAGTACAATTTCAGAAAGATCCATACACTTACACACAAGTTATTGTCATGAAACTAGAAAAATGCTTGTTTTTTCCCCCTTTTTGGCCCCTAATTCCTAATATTTTGAGGCAATTACCCCCAAAATCAATCCCAGCATTCCCTGTGTGATATGGAACCTTGTGGTACAATGTCAGAGAGATCCATACACTAACACACAAGTTATGTCTGGAAGTTTCAAAATTGCTTATTTTTGGCCCATTTTTGGCTCCTAATTCCTTAACTGTTGGTACCATAACCCCCAAAATCAATCCCAACCTTCCTTTTGTGGTATTGAACCTTATGGTAAAATTTTATAGAGATCCATTCACTTAAACTAAAGTTAGAGTGCGAAAACCAATGTGTCTTCGGACGACGCAGGACGACGCCGGACGACGACGACAACGACGCCAACGTCATACCAATACGCCAATTTTTTTGCGGTCGTATAAAAAACGAAAGGGAGCTCACGTCAATAGATATAAACAATTCACCAAAGTTTCATGCATATTGGTTAAAGCTTTTTTGAGTTAATGTCCGACATGTTGACGACGGACGGACGGACAGACAGACGGTCAACGGTATACCATAATACGTTCCGTAAACGGGCGTATAAAAACAGCACAATAACAAATTACAAACAGCAAATTAAGTAGATTAAAATCAGAAAACAAACAGAAATATGCATATAGGAAACATTGCCCCGAGGGTCATATTCCATGATATTAACGCAATTTTCTGTGCAGTACATAGTACACAAGGGAAGAATAAAGAATATAAAAAATTATGATATCATTTATAAAAACCATTCGCAGAGTTTTGGACGATAGGTTTAACCGACTAGAGGGCTTCCCTGACGATGGTTTTAGAAACATTAATTATCAATCAAAGATTATCTATAATACTTAAGTTGGATTGTGTCAGTTTAGGGGTACAATTTCTTGTTATTGTCCATATCATTAATTACATCACTTCAAGATAAATATCGTACAACGAATCGCCGCATTTGAATATCTAATATATATTTTTGATATTTTAATACGGCGATTATTTATACTTGTATTATCTAAAAACCGAATATCAAAACTCTTTTCAGTGATACTGGCGGGTTAGTTCAATTCACATTATATAAGTAGAGGCTCTAAAGAGCCTGTGTCGCTCACCTTGGTATATGTGCATATTAAACAAAGGACAAAGATGGATTCATGACAAAATTGTGTTTTGGTGATGGTGATGTGTTTGTAGATCTTACTTTACTGAACATTCTTGCTGCTTACAATTATCTCTATCTATAATGAACTTGACCCAGTAGTTATAGTGGAAAATATTTTGTAAAAATTTACAAAAATTTACAAAATTTATGAAAAAATTGTAAAAAATTGACTATAATGGGCAATAACTCCTTAAGGGGTCAATTGACAATTTTGGTCATGTTGACTTATTTGTAGATCTTACTTTGCTGTACATTATTGCTGTTTGCAGTTTATCTCTATCTATAATAATATTCAAGATAATAACCAAAAGCTGCAAAATTTTCTTAAAATTACCAATTCAGGTGCAGCAACCCAACAACGTGTTGCCTGATTGGTCTGAAAATTTCAGGGCAGATAGATCTTGACCTGATAATCAGTTTTACCCAATGTCAGATTTATTCTAAATGCTTTGGTTTCAGAGATATAAGCCAAAATCTACATTTTACCCCTATGTTCTATTTTTAGCCATGTCGGCCATCTTGGTTCGCGGGCGGGGTCATCGGACACATTTTTTAAACTATATACCCTAATGATGATTGTGTAAAAGTTTGGTTAAATTTGTCTTAGTAGTTTCAGAGGAGAAGATTTTTGTAAAAGATTACAAAAATTTACGAAAAATGGTTAAAAATTGACTATAAAGGGCAATAACTCCTTAAGGGGTCAACTGACCATTTTGGTCAAGTTGACTTAATTGTAGATCTTACTTTGCTGAACATTATTGCTGTTTACAGTTTATCTCTATCTATAATAATATTCAAGATAATAACCAAAAACGACAAAATTTCATTAAAATTACCAATTCAGGGGCAGCAACCAAACAACGATTTGCCTGATTGGTCTGAAAATTTCAGGGCAGATAGATCTTGACCTGATAAACAATTATACCCCACGTCAGATTTGCTCTAAATGCTTTGGTTTCAGAGATATGAGCCAAAAACTGCATTTTACCCTATGTACTATTTTTTAGCCATGTCGGCCATCTTAGTTCGTTGGCGGGGTCATCGGACACATTTTTTAAACTATATCCCCTAATGATGATTGTGTAAAAGTTTGGTTAAATTTGTCTTAGTAGTTTCAGAGGAGAAGATTTTTGTAAAAGATTACAAAAATTTACGAAAAATGGTTAAAAATTGATTATAAAGGGCAATAACTCCTTAAGGGGTCAACTGACCATTTTGGTCAAGTTGACTTAATTGTAGATCTTACTCTGCTGAACATTATTGCTGTTTACAGTTTATCTCTATCTATAATAATATTCAAGATAATAACCAATAAAATGCTCCGCTGGGGCGCAGCTTGATACGACCGCAGAGGTCGAACCCTGAACAGTTGGGGCAAGTATGGACACAACATTCAAGCTTGATACAGCACTGAATTTGGATTGTAATTAAATATTTGACACAGCATAGGTTTCTGACACAGAATGAAAGTGGTCTAAGAACTTAAAAATTTTCAATTTACCTATTCATACATGTGATGGACTGTGAAACTCAGATCAGGAGATTGGGAAATTTTGGTCAGGAGATTAGGACTCAGATCAGGAGGTTTTTAATCGACATTAATTTTGTTGTAAATGTAACCGTGTGCTGTAAAAATGGTCTTTTAAAGTATGTTTTCTTCAACTTTCCAACCAATTTATAATGTTTATAGTACCCTTGTACTTATAAAGTTTCTCCATCTTTATATTCTACATGTTCAATCTAACATTGTTTTTTTCCAGTATGTTCTTTAAATTTTTTACTTCATATTCTATAAAACAATCATTGCAACCAGAACATTTGTTTAGCTGTCTGCAAATAGTTTTTATTTTTTTTTTTTTTCTCTTGCAAATAGTTTTTATTTGCAAACTCAGAAATTCATTCTACCTGTAAAGTTAGGGTCATAGTTATTATATAAATTTCAATTTAAGCCTTAAAATAGAATCCTCAAATAATTTTCAAATTATTATTTTTTTATTTGTCCTAAGACATTTAAAATCATTTAATAACCATCCTTTTATAATTATTTGTTCAATTTATATTTTATTTATATTCTTTTAAAAATTTTCATTATTAAAAGGAAAGTAACTTAAAACAGGATAAATCAAGGGAAGTAACCCAATAAATACACAGTTTTTGTTACACAACGGCAGTTAGCCTGAGGTAAAAATCGTTGCTTACCAGTATGTTTGACACCCAAGCTGACAAGTGAAGCCATATAATTATGCATGTTAATTGATTTACAGGTAAAATATAACTTCAGGTAATGTCAGTTACACCAGATGCCAGAGATGTTATGTTGGGCAGAAATTTTTCATTCATGAAAAATTTCATACACGGGATTTTTTCAACGGGAGGAGGGGAGGAGACCCCTGAAAACGGGATTATTGTACTCCCGTCGGGAGGTTCACATGTATGCCTATTCAAACCATATCATTATTATTTGCTTTTATATATAAATCAGAAATAACCAATTTAAAATGGAAAATGTTAAAGAAAAAAAAGGAAAAAAAAAATCCCCCCCCAATTTTTTGAACCCCCTTATGATTCATCGCCCCCAAACTCAATCCCAGCTTTCCCTTTGTGGTATGGTACCTTGCAGTACAATTTCAGAGAGATTCATACACTTGAACACAAGTTATTGTCTGGAAACTAGAAAAATGCTTGTTTTTTGGCCCCTTTTTGGCCCCAAATTCCAAAACGTTTAGGGCAATTACCCCCAAACTCAATTCCAGCTTTCCCTTTGTGATATGGAACCTTGCAGTACAATTTCATAAAGATCCATACACTTACACACAAGTTATTGTCCTGAAACTAGAAAAATGCATGTTTTTTTTGCCCTTTTATGACCCCTAATTACTAAAATTTTGAGGGAAAACCCCCAAAATCAATCCCAGCCTTCCCTTTGTGATATGGAACCTTGTAGTACAATTTCATAAAGATCCATACACTTACAAACAAGTTATTGTCTGGAAACTAGAAAAATGCTTGTTTTTTGCCCCTTTTTGGCCCCTAATTCCTAATATTTGGAGGAAATTACCCCAAAAATCAATCCCAGTATTCCCTTTGTGATATGGAACCTTGTAGTACAATTTCATAAAGATCCATACACTTACAAACAAGTTATTGTCATGAAACTAGAAAAATGCTTGTTTTTTGCCCCTTTTTGGCCCCTAATTCCTAAAATTTGGAGACAATTACCCCCAACATCAATCCCAGCATCCCCTTTGTGATATGGAACCTTGTGGTACAATGTCAGAGAGATCCATACACTTACACACAAGTTATGTCTGGAAGTTACAAAAATGCTTATTTTTGGCCCCTTTTGGCCCCTAATTCCTTAACTGTTAGTACCATAACCCCCAAAATCAATCCCCACCTTCCTTTTGTGGTATTGAACCTTATGGTAAAATTTCAATGAGATCCATTCACTTAAACTAAAGTTAGAGTGCGAAAACTAATGTGTATTCGGACGACGACGCCGGACGACGACGACGACGACGACGACGACGACGACGACGCCAACGTCATACCAATATACGACCACAAAAATTTTTTTGCGGTCGTATAAAAACGGCAAAATTTCCTTAAAATTACCAATTCAGGGGCAGCAACCCAACAAAGGGTTGTCAGATTCATCTGAAAATTTCAGGGCAGATAGATCTTGACCTGATAAACAATTTTCCCCTTTATCAGATTTGCTCTAAATGCTTTGGTTTCAGAGATATAAGCCAAAATCTACATTTTACCCCTATGTTCTATTTTTAGCCATGGCGGCCATCTTGGTTGGTTGACCGGATCACCGGACACATTTTTTAAACTAGATACCCCAATGATGATTGTGACCAAGTTTGGTTAAATTTGACCCAGTAGTTTCAGAGGAGAAGATTTTTGTAAAAGTTTACGGACGACGGACGACGGACGACGGACGACGGACGCAGGACGACGGACGACGGACGCAAAGTGATGAGAAAAGCTCACTTGACCTTTCAGGTCAGGTGAGCTAAAAATAAGATAATGTATTTCCGATTTCACTGCATTGTTTTGGCGTATGAAAATATATGTATACAGTATAGCACACAGTTGTCAAAACGGCTCGGATTGTCACCTCTAGATAATTGATGCAGATTTTGCAATTATTGTGAAGCAAGAAGTTGTTTTATATGTACCCAAACTATAAATTGTTGATAAGATTGACGACAAAATGCAAAAGGCAGGAGAGTGAAAATAAACGTGTTATTCCACATGTGAGATTACCGCAATTTATCACAAAGGGGAATTCATATATTGCACCTCTGTACTGTATATACAGTAGAGAACGAATGTCATTTCATTTCACGATGTATTCAATTATCAGTTATATATTATGTATTAATTTATCAGTTATTGTATTTGCACGACCGTATATTTTACATGTAATTGTGCTATCTATATAATAATCAGGATTAAACTGTCTTATATGTCATGTATGTGCATACCAACTAGTTTTTTGTGGAACTTCATCTGATTTCATCTTTTGTGTGTCGAACCACTGTGAAGGAAGTGTATCGAGTTATATATACGAAATACACGAGGAACTTAGGTCTGTCACGTCCTATATAACATTATTCATATTAAGAACCTCCGAAAATAAATCCTTCATAAATATTGTATTATAGTAAAATTGGACAAGCTATGTTTGTTATAACTGAATTATGTTTGCTATGGATTGTCTAAATGAGGAAAACTCTTCATCTTTAGTTTTCACATCTTCGCTAGCCAAGGGTTACGATCCTGGAGAGGAGGGGACTATAAATCATAACCCTTGGCTATATAGAGAAGATGTAGTTTCTAAAGAAAAAGAACGAATGAAAATAGTAAAACAAAACATACGAAATCATCTTATGAGCCTATAAAACTTATGACATACATGATTTCTATATAACTGCATTTTAAATCTGCGGAAGAAGTACCAGTTTTCATGAGTTTCACTTTCTGCCAAAGTTGTGTACTTTTCTTCAGCTTCGGCTCCAAAGGAATGAAAATCTCCATGATGATCAAACAAGACACAAGTTGGTGTCTTCAGTGAAAGTCCAGCCGTCGACCCCAATGTCCAGGTGTATCCAGATATTTTTAACGGATCTTCTTGATAATCACCCTTAAAGGCAAATGCATATCCAGAAAAGGTAGTGCCAAAATCAATGGCGGCCACTAAAAGCGGATCTATAACCGTCTCCGCACAAGCCATGCCTGTCCTTGACTATTCTCACGTACTCTTAATACACTGCGTCCAGTTTACTGTGTGAAAAAAGAATTGATGTAATAAATGTATTAAGATAAATGAAATTGATGTAATATATGTATTAAGATAAATGAAAAATAAACTGCTTCGCTGAGCACAGCTGGGATACGCCCACAGAGGTCCAACCCTGAACAGTTGGGGCAAAAATGGACACAATATTCAAGCTTGATACAGGTCTGAATTTGGATTGTAATTAAATATTTGACATATTATAGGTTTCTGAATAAATGTAGTCAAAGAACTTGAAATTGGTTATATGAATTGAATTTATATTCAATTAAAGATTTCTTGCTGTTGTGCAATACACTGTGCTGTTGCGCAATACTTAGTAAATCTGTTGTCAGACTATAAACAAATAAAGTTCAATTTCTTCTCAATGTCATATTTGAAATTTATGAAAATCAATAGGGAGATTACATCAATAGCTATAAATAATTCACCAAAGTTTCATGAGAACTGCTGAAAGCATTTTTGAGTTATTGTCCAAAAACTGGAAAATCCCCCCTTTTTTAATGAATAAAAACCAATAACTCAAAAATGTAAAATCTAAAATTTATAAAAATTCTAAAGGGAGCTTATATCAACAGATATAAACAATTCACCAAAATTTCATGAGAACTGCTGAAAGCATTTTTTAGTTATTGTCCGAAAACTGGAAAATCATCCTTTTTTTATGAATAAAACCCTGTAACTCGGAAACGTAAAATCTAAAATTCATAAAAATCGAAAGGGAGCTCATGAAAATAGATATAAGCAATTCACCAAAATTTCTTGCAAGTTGGTGAAAGCATTCTTGAGTCATTGTCGGAAAACTGGAAAATCCACCCTTTTTAAAGAATAAAACCCCAAAACTCAGAAACGGTAAATCTGAAATTTATAAAAAACGAAAGGGAGCTCACGTCAATAGATATAAACAATTTACCAAAGTTTCATGCATATTAGTTAAAGCTTTTTTGAGTTAATGTCCAACATGTTGACGACGGACGGACGGACAGACGGACAGACGGACGGACAGCCGGACGGACGGTCAACGGTATACCATTATACGTCCCGTAAACGGGCGTATAATAAGAGCATAAGACAAGTAAGTTTTATTAATTCATTTAACCACAAAAAGATGCATATTCTTAATTTAAAACTATTTATTGTGTAGTCGGTATTGGTATTTGTCTATTTCAAAGCAAGGAAAATTACCAAGAGTATACCAATAGTTTAAACATATTTTGTTTGCTTAAATATGCAAAACGGATGAGACACAAGTTAATCAAACTTATATATACGATAAAACTTACTCAATCGTTATTTTGTAATACATGTTAGTGAATGACAGTCAGTCGGCAAAAAATCTAGCTTTTCCAATATGTTTAATGGGGGGGGGGGGGAGGGGGCAAGAGGGGTTCCAATAACAGCAAAACAGCAAATTGATTTGGCTTATAACTGATAACAAGGAATTGAAAAGGGATAAAAACAGATATTACAGTAAATGAATAATTAAAATCAGTCGGGTCCAGGACAAATCCAGTATATATCTTATTATAATCCTTTGTAATGAATTCCATTTTCTATGAACATGTTTTTAGAGTTATATATCTAGAATTGGATTACTCAATGTATGATGATATTTTTTTGTTATGGAATACTTTTTTCAGCATTTATTTTTGTACTTTTAAAGAAGCTCACACATGCTTGTAATTCAAATAGTGAGTGTATTCTTAGAAAAGAATCACAGAGCTGAGTCTGTGTTCCTTATTATATAAAAGGTGTTTAGGTTAACTGGTCGTATGCAACTAGGACTTAATTGCCACCCTCATCAGGTATCCCTGGCCATATGTTTTCCTTTTTGTCGAGTCTGCGACTTTTGTCGCAAAAGCGAGACATAGTGATCACACATTCAGTCGGCGGCTCGTCGTCAGGGGCATCCACAAATATTCACTTTGTGGTTAATGTTTTTAAAATTTGAATAACTTTCTTAAAATATCCAGGATTTCTACCAAACTTGGACAGAAGCTTGTTTATAATCATAAAATAGTATCCAGAAGTAAATTTTATAAAAAAAAATAATCCTATTTATCCGTATTTTACTTATAAATGGACTTAGTTTTTCTGCCAGTTTCCATTACATTCACTCTGTGGTTAAAGTTTTTAAAAATTTAATAACTTTCTTAAACTATCCCAAAGTTGGATTCCGTTCTCTAACTTCAGTTTGCCTCAACCGAATGTTATGAAACTTATACACAATGCTTATTACCACAAAACACAGATCAAGTTTAAATGTTGGTGGTGTCACTGTAACCGTTCAAAAGTTATGCCCCTTTACAAACGAAATAACATGCTTCGCTGGGCGCAGCTTGATACGACCGCAGAGGTCGAACCCTGAACAGTTGGGGCAAGTATGGACACAACATTAAAGCTTGATACAGCTCTGAATTTGGATTGTGATTAAATATTTGACACAGCATAGGTTTCTGACACAGAATGAATGTGGTCTAAGAACTTGATTTTTTTTAATTTACCTATTATGGTCCAATGTCCAAAATCAAAATACATGGTTAGATACAGCATATCCCCATATATTCAATTTTTGTTGAAATCAAACAAAGTTTAATTTTGGACCCCAACTTGGACAAACTTGAAAACTGGGCCCATAATCAAAAATCTAAACACATGTTTAGATTCAGCATATCAAAGAACCCCAAGAATTCAATTTTTGTTAAAATCAAACTAAGTTTAATTTTGGACCCTTTGGACCTTAATGTAGACCAATTTAAAAAACGGGACCCAAAATTAAAAATCTAAAAACACGGTTAGATTTGGAATATCAAAGAACCCCAATAATTCAATTTTTGATGAAATCAAACAAAGTTTAATTTTGGACCCTTTTGACCTCAATATGAACCAATTTAATAGCGGGGCCCACAAATAAAAAATCTAAATACATGGTTAGATTCAGCATATCAAAGAACCCCATATATTCAATTTTCGTTGAAATAAAACAAAGTTTAATTTTGGATCCCAACTTGGACCAACTTGTAACTGGGCCCATAATCAAAAATCTAAACACATGTTTAGATTCAGCATATCAAAGAACCCCAAGAATTCAATTTTTGTTAAAATCAAACTAAGTTTAATTTTGGACCCTTTGGACCTTAATGTAGACCAATTTAAAAAACGGGACCCAAAATTAAACATCTAAAATACGGTTAGATTTGGCATATAAAAGAACCCCAATAATTCAATTTTTGATGAAATCAAACAAAGTTTAATTTTGGACCCTTTTGACCTCAGTATGAACCAATTTGATAGCGGGGCCCACAAATAAAAAATCTAAATACATGGTTAGATTCAGCATATCAAAGAACCCCATATATTCAATTTTTGTTGAAATCAAACAAAGTTTAATTTTGGACCCTAATTTGGACCAACTTGAAAACTGGGCCAACAATCTAAAATCTAAATACATGGTTATATTCAGCATATCAAAGAACCCCATATATTCAATTTTTGTTGAAATCAAACAAAGATTAATTTTGGACCCCAACTTGGACCAACTTGAAAACTGGGCCCATAATCAATAAAATGCTTCGCTGGGGCGCAGCTTGATACGACCGCAGAGGTCGAACCCTGAACAGTTGGGGCAAGTATGGACACAACATTCAAGCTTGATACAGCTCTGAATTTGGATTGTTATTAAATATTTGACACAGCATAGGTTTCTGACACAGAAAGAATGTGGTCTAAGAACTTGAATTTTTTTAATATACCTATTATGGTCCAATGTCCAAAATCAAAATACATGGTTAGATTCAGCATATCAAAGAACCCCATATATTCAATTTTTGTTAAAATCAAACAAAGTTTAATTTTGGACCCCAACTTGGACAAACTTGAAAACTGGGCCCATAATCAAAAATCTAAACACATGTTTAGATTCAGCATATCAAAGAACCCCAAGAATTCAATTTTTGCTAAAATCAAACTAAGTTTAATTTTGGACCCTTTGGACCTTAATGTAGACCAATTTAAAAAACGGGACCTAAAATTAAAAATCTAAATACACGGTTAGATTTGGAATATCAAAGAACCCCAATAATTCAATTTTTGATGAAATCAAACAAAGTTTAATTTTGGACCCTTTTGACCTCAATATGAACCAATTTGATAGCGGGGCCCACAAATAAAAAATCTAAATTCATGGTTAGATTCAGCATATCAAAGAACCCCATATATTCAATTTTTGTTGAAATCAAAAAAAGTTTAATTTTGGACCCCAACTTGGACCAACTTGAAAACTGGGCCCATAATCAAAAATCTAAATACATGTTTAGATTCAGCATATCAAAGAACCCCAAGAATTCAATTTTTATTAAAATCAAACTAAGTTTAATTTTGGACCCTTTGGACCTCAATGAAGACCAATTTAAAAAACGGGACCCAAATTAAAAATCTAAAAACACGGTTAGATTTGGTATATCAAAGAACCCCAATAATTCAATTTTCGATGAAATCAAACAAAGTTTAATTTTGGACCCTTTTGACCTCAATATGAACCAATTTGATAGCGGGGCCTACAAATAAAAAATCTAAATACATGGTTAGATTCAGCATATCAAAGAACCTCATATATTCAATTTTTGTTGAAATCAAACAAAGTTTAATTTTGGACCCCAATTTGGACCAACTTGAAAACTGGGCCCATAATCAAAAATCTAAATTCATGTTTAGATTTAGCATATCAAAGAACCCCATATATTCAATTTTTGTTGAAATCAAACAAAGTTTAAATACTGGACCCTATCTTGGACCAACTTGAAAACTGGGCCCATAATCAAAAATATAAACACATGTTTAGATTCAGCAAATCAAAGAACCCCAAGAATTCAATTTTTGTCAAAATCAAACTAAGTTTAATTTTGGACCCTTTGGACCTCAATGTAGACCAATTTAAAAAACAGGACCCAAAATTAAAAACCTAAATACACGGTTAGATTTGGAATAT